ATAAAAAAATTGTTGTTCTAAGTCTGGATGGTTCCTATTGTCCGTTTTATGAATGTTTGTAAAATTCCCTGCGTTACAAGATTTACTAGTGCGGCAGTTGTCTATTTTTTTTTCCAAATCACCATGGTTTCCGTGATTACTCGAGATCTATAGCTATGATACAAAAGTTATTAAAGTTTTGTTGTATCTATTTCTTTTTTATTTATAATACAATGTGATCCACAAGACCGACGAAAAAAAAACATATTACGACGTAAAATAGATGAGATTAGAAAAAAGAATACAATAGAACATATTTATTATTATTTATTACATATTATTTATTTCCGTGTGGTGACGGATTAAGAATACAGAGTGTCACCACCCCTATTCATCCCGTGGGTTTCGTAAGAGGCAACTAAGGGAGCGAAACACGCAAGACAACAGCACTGCAGAGAGAAGGAAAACTTGAATACCAACCCGTCTGGCCAGCGTGGTATAGTAGGCCAAAACCTCCTTTCTAAGGAGAGGCCTATGTCCAGCAGTGGACTGTTAAAGGCTTTTGATGATGATTGATGATTTATTTATTATTTATTTGCTTTAAATGGGGTAGTACTTAATGTGGCGTTACAGGTTTAATATAATGCGAATAGGCCCATGTAGCCATGAACATAGCATGCAAATTTAACATTTTACTAAAATATCTTATGTATTAACATATATCATTATTATAGTCATTATTCATCAGTTTTTGTGTATTGATTATAATTTAACCTTTATTCATTGTACCTACTACTCTCCACCATTCTAAAATTCTTTACCCGAATAAAATAAATTAGTAATTAACCAATCTCCCAGGGCTGAGACAAACTTATTTAAGGGTAGTTCTTTGAATTATTCTGGGATTTTATGGAAGACTTTAACGCACTTGCGTAGCTATTTTTTGTTGTATATGTCCGAAAATATTATATTTATTATTATTACTCATAAACAACCCTATAATGCTGTTAAACGTGTTTGCCGACTCTCTAAAACGGTTATTTGCTTTGCTAGTTTTTTGTAAACAATAGAAAATTGATAATCATAATGTACTTAATAAATTTTAAATGTACTTCCATACACATTTACACAAGGCAGAAGCAATGGTAGTGTGAGTCATGCGTGTGAGTGTCAAACGACAAGTATGACAATGTGAACGCGGCACTCGACAGGATCCAAACGACAACGTATCGACATTTTGAAAATATCGATATATGTCTAGTTATGTGCCGTTATCATCGACAATGTCTCATCGCATGCAGTGCTCAATCTTGGGCAGTGTATTGTTCAACATTTCTTAACTATATTCTATTCATTTAGTGTAGTAAAAATCGTTTAAAAGGAGTCAAAAATATTTTAAATTATTTCTAATTACGAGTATGTTGATTTAGTCACTCTACCTTTCGAGTAAAGCCGTGGTCAGAAGCAAGTTTTCAGCAACTATCGTGGCTCGTGGCTACTCACGTACTTTGTCGGACGAGGGAAGACTGCCACTATCCGCCCGTAACTCAGCGGTCGGCCAACATACGTCGGCGAGCACTTCCGTCTCTAAATCCCACGGGGGAGTACCGGCCAATGCGCACGCCGCCTCCGTCGAAACGGTGCGGTAAACACGTATGACTTTAACCGCCAATATCCTCTGAGGGCGCTAGAGGCGTGCTCTATTCTGGGCGGTCACAGCCGCCGCCCAGACCGGTGCACCGTACAGTGCCATTGACCGGACAACCCCCGTGTACAGCCGTCTCGTCGCGACGCTGAGTCCACCTAAATTGGGTAAAAGTCCCCAAAGAGAAGTGCTCGTTGAAGAGCCAACTCCTGTCAAGAATCAGGCGCTGATATTACATCTGAGCCAGAACCAGTAAGAGAAGCGAGTTGACCATGTTTTATGGAATAAGAGGGCCTCCGTCTTATCCAGGACCACCCGTAAGCCCAGCGCCTCAATGCGTCCGACCTCCAGAGAGACTCCAGTGATGGCCAGGCGCGCCGCCTCTTGAAAGTTCTCTCCCCGAGCTGTGACCAAAGTATCATACCATCTCGAACCTCGTACACGGCGGTACGCTCCTCTAAATAGTCGGCCACTAGCCGCCGCCTCAGGTACTTTGACGCCCCATGATAGTGGAGTGCTTCCCTGATGCAGCTGAATGGCAGACTATTGAATGTGTTGGTGATGTCTAATAACACTGACAACAACACGCCGCCACATCTCACCGCCTCGCAAACGAAAACGAAAACGTTCAGACGCCAAGCTCGCGTCAAACACCTCCCTGAAGCGGTCTGACATGTGGTCGGCCCGCACACGGACAGGTATCCCGTCCGGCCCAGGGGCGGTATTCTTGGAGCGAGTCCGTAGAACAGCCTTACCTCCGAATTCGTGACGGGCGGAACATCATCTTCGTTCTCCTCGTCGTCTCCGACCAAGGAGGCCATCGAAGGGGGTGTTTGTTCCATCCGCTGCGGGAAAAGGCACCCAACCTCTGTCTGCAGGAAGCTGGTCTGGAGGGTCTCTATAAGGGGGGAGCCAGACGGCAGAGCTATTGTCGCGCCGAGCGATAAGGGTGACGATCGAATCATATTCCTAATTGGGACGGACGAAGTTACAGTACACGATTTTAAAAGTCTTAACTTTCGTGAACCATTTAAAAATACGCATGACAAAGCCTAAAGCTTTCGAGGCCTTTTGAACGACTGCGCCTATATGTACATCAAACAGAAGTTTAGAGACGTGATGGGCACCTAGGTCCCGGATAGTGTTGCATCTGGGTAGGTTTTGACCGCTTAATATATAGTTCGATACTAAAGTAGTACGCTTCCTTGAATACGTGACTACCGAGAATTTTAAAGGATTTAGATCTAATACAAAAAAATTACGTTTTATTATCTGTCAATAAAAAGTACCGTTCTGGCAGCGATCTTGCGGTTGCGTCATCATCACTAAAACTTTCGCTCGCTTCCAGGGAGCACAGGGAACATGGGGGTCGTCTACTCGTCTGTAGATGACCCGAGGTCTGTCGGGGCACCAGGGACTTCCTTTCTAGGGTATACCTGGTTCCCCGGCTATTAGTACCCGAGACGGCGTGCGGTTTTAGTCGGTTCGAGTCCGACATGCCACCGACAGGTGGTATCCAAGGGGATTTCCGCACGGGAAAAAAAAACGTATATTCTAATAAATAATCTCATAGAATGTCGATACTGTCTGTATTTTAAAGTTCTTCGTTTTTATTTAGCTGTAAATAAATCGGGTCTTGGTTCAAAACGTTGTTAGATATTTGTATGTAAGTATATATAATATCTCGTGAAATAACTTGTTAAGCAATCGCCTTTACTCTCGTATCTTTTTCAACTTTCACTTTCTCTTACAATTACAATATAATAAATAAAACTTCTTCAATTTATTTTATCCTTTATCTTTTACTTTATCCTCTTCCATCTCTCACTACTTATTAATAGGTCTTTACCTATGAAATTGCCGTTTTGTATGCGATAAGTGAAAGTTTTTTTTCAAACTTTTTTATTTCTGTTATTCGAAGTAATCACCCATGAAATCGACGCATCTTTTCCAACGCATTGGCAGTTTATTGATGCCCTTCTTGTAAAAATCAGCTGGACGGGAGGCAACAAACTCTTCAAAGGCATTTTGTACTGCCTCTCGGGAATTGAATTTTTATCCACTATAAAAGTTGTCTAAATTTTGGAAAAAGTAATAGTCGGTAGGTGCAAGGTCTGGTGGTCACATCTGCAACCAGCTTTGGTCAATCGGTCGTCCCCACTGCTCCTTCAAGACAACGCGCGACCCCATACTGCGCAACCGACAGTGGAAACCGACAGTGGAAAGTGGCTGGGGTTGGAAGCTCTCCCTCATCCGCCATACTCACCAGACCGGTTGTAATTTCGGTTGCTAGGTTAAGCGGTTAAATTGATTTGTAGAATTTGGATTCGACATTTTAATCAATTTTTTAAAATATGAACGTAATTGGTACCTACACCTTCAGCCAGTACGATTCCAACTCTTATCCTTATAATTGTAAAAAAGATCTTGGGTACAGTCTATATTTTTATTTATAGTAATTTATACTAAAACTTGCTTAATGACTCGATTACACCAAACAACGCTTCTGCGAGTCCAGGCCTTTACTCAGTGGGGTACCAACGTTTAAAGTAAAAAAAAAAACACAATTCGATATTAAGTTGAATTTAGCGTATGGTTGAATTAATAAAACACAACAGACAGCTTATTTTGAGCTCAGAAAGTAGTGATAACTTTTCCCTACGGTTAATTTATATGCATTTCATATTGGACTATTTAAACTGCAAACCAAAACAAAAGAAGATATTGTCACTCAGTTCTGCTGGCAGGGCTTTATCACAATCTGATATTACCGTGTGCGTTGCCTTCTCTTTGAGTGACATAATAAATGCCCTATTAAACAATGTTAAGTATACAAAGTGTATTACGTCTGTAATAATAAATACTGATTTATTTTATTTATTAAAACCTTTATATGTTTATTTCGGTGCATAATTAATTTAAATATAATAACCTCACACACGGCAGTCTGATCCTAAAGTAGGCAGAGCCTGTGCTATAGTAATCAGACTGCTGATAAACATACAATATATTACTAAATACATACCTTACATTTGATAATAAATTACCCCCAGACACATAACAAATGATCGTGCTCAATACACAATTGTTTGTCCTGGGTGGGAATCGAACCCACGACCTCCGGCTTAGCAGTTAGGGTCACAAGCCACTAGACCAATAATCCCATTAATATAATAATGTATTATATGTATATAGCTTAGGTGACATTGAAATTATAATCTCAATATTACATCTTAGATACATACCTAATGTTGGTACGAGTATCATTGATGTGTTGATTTGTGACTCTGTGTGTGGGTTGAAAATCAATCAGTTTCTTTTTATACGAGTATGTAGTAGTAACCATAAAGCATTCTAAAGTTTTATTTCTTTCCAGGTGATAAAAATGCTCGTCCTTGTCGTGGCACTGTTTGCATTATGCTGGCTTCCTCTCCAGAGTTATTTATTATTACAATCGTTCATTCCTTCAATAAACGAGTAAGTAGCAATTTATTTAAACTGTAGTACAGGTTTTTAAGAAAGACCCTTTTTAATGGCTTTGGAGTTCAGTTTGTTGAATCCCATAAAAATGTATGCAAATGTTCTAGTGGATGTTCATTACGCAAGTATAAAGTTACATTATTTTATACGATGAATTGGATATTTTCCCCACATAAACGTTTTATAAATACAGTTGTTATACGTTGTGTTGTTCATACAAAATCAACGATAGCCGCCAGCAATGCTATTATGCATATTAACTGTCAATGCAAAATAAAATTATGTATTTGTGTTCCAAATTGAGAAGTGAAAGTAACAATAGCAGTGAAGTTCCTTTTTCACTTTAAAGCACTTTAATTGTAGCTAGATGAACAAATTAATAAAATAATCACTAACAAATACAAAATATTTTTAAATGGAAATGCAAATATGAAGATTATACATGTTTGGTAATATTTTTACTTAGAAATTCCTGTTATGGCCTTAAGAAGAAATACTCTCTGCCCCCGCTGGTGCCGCAGTGCTGCATTTCTATGACACAAAGTATATAATATCTGATCCGCGAAACACCGCGCATCGGCGTGAAAAGCAACTGAACTCATCCCTTTACCCAGAAAAATCTAAACTATCTCTGGCTGAAGACCCATATCTATCTGACCTTTTTCCCGAAGCTCTCGAAAGTCTTGGCTATCTGTAACTTAACAGATTTATTTCAAGCTTTATTTTAAATCTCACACACGGCTTACATACGGATATGAACAACTACCGGCCTGTTTAGCCTTCATTTTTGCATAGCTTTTCATCAAGTTTTCACTGTTTTGGTGGGGAGGGGCGGTAGTCACTTACCACCAGATGACCCGTCTGCCCGTTTGCTCTTCTATGCCGTAATCAAATTTATAACAAACTTTAGTCGATAAACTAACTTAAGTTAATAAACTAAGAGAAAGATTGGGACCTCTCAAAATATGACTTTCACCTAATTTGTATTTTTCCGTTACATAATGTGTGATAGTAGATGTGAAGATATGCGAAGATATAATACACATATATTTATAATAAATATACCAAACATGTATGTTGACTATCTGCAATCTCTTGTAAAAATATATACTCATGTACGAATATACAAAGGTAAAGGTAATTACCGTTTCCGTGTGGTGACGGATTAAGAATACAGTGTCACCACCCCTATTCATCACGTGGGTCTCGTAAGAGGCGACTATGGGAGCAAACTACGCAGGACAACATCACTGCAAAGAGAAGGAAAACTTGACACAAACCCTATATCAACCCGTCTGGTCAGCGTGGTATAGCAGGCCAAAACCTCCTTTCTAAGGAGAGGCCCATGTCCAGCACTGGACTAGTAAAGGCTGTTAATGATTATTGATGAAAGGTAATTACCAAGATTTTTAACAGACAGACCAACTGATTGATAACTGGGGTTTTAAATTAGCTGACTATGGGTTATTTCACGAGATGAATTGTCATAAAATACCTTTTTAAAAAGTATAGGTATAAACCTTCTCCAACCAATTCACTTCAGAATATGAAAAGGTACTATGTAATATACTCACGGCATATAAAGGTCTCCATATTTTTGGCAATTTAGTTTCACGCCTGCAGATAAACGCACAAAAAGGGCCCTCGTGAGCAGTTTCATAAAATTCTGTAGAAAGTTATGAAATAGTACTGTATTCGCCGGAGAATATCATCTATGTTATGTAAAGTTTAGAGTTGGCTCATTTTAAGAATAATCATGGACGTCATCCCACTACAGTACCAATAAATTTTATACTGTGTATTGTAAAAAATTATAAAGGCGAATCCAGATATTCATATTTTGAAGAACTCTTGTACTCTCAAATTCACAATACTATTAGTACACAATAGTCCCAAGGGAAGAATTTTATCTATTAGAACGTCACAATTTGACTGTTCTCTGATACCGGAAATATTCACTTAGCTGTATGTAGTGGTAGTGTTTTATATAGGTACTACAGCACATTGAACATTTTAATACTGAAAAATAGGGTTAGTAACCCATAAATGACCGGTAATCGCTTGCAATTACAATCCGGCAAATCAATTTAGATGCATAAAATATCTAGACATAAAAATAAATTTAGGAAAGTGAGATATTGCATGACTAACAGATATATGTTTTGTTGCAGGTATAAGTACATTAACGTCATTTTCTTCTGCTTCGACTGGTTAGCGATGAGTAACTCTTGCTATAATCCATTTATCTACGCTATTTACAACGTGAGTTTATACACATATTTTATCTTTAAAATTTAAATAAAGTCAGTACAACAATTATTGACGTCAGAAAGAGTATAATATTTAATTTGAATATGTACCTACACAGTTTTTGAATTTACTTTCGAACTTACTTTATTAGTCATTAGACGTTCCTTGTAGTTCCACGCAGTTGATCGCGTTTATTTAGACAACCAGTACCCAAAGTTTATTTAAAGAAGTTATGAACCATCTTAGTTACGTTTGTGTTATTATAAAACTAGCGTCGGCAAAACTTCATGGTTTTACAAGCTAAAAATATTCAATTCTGTTTACATTTTATGAAATCTGGTAATTAAATTATATTATCACTATATTTACTATATGTTTAATAATAATCGTTGAAAATGGACTACCAAATGAGTGGTCACAATATTTGTTATTTGTGAAAACTTTATCATTTTACAGTATTGTATTCTAGAATAGAAATCTGTTAGTCTACTTTTCACATGAAAATTATATAGTTTTGTAAAGTACAAGATAAATAATTAAAAAATGAAAATGAGCGTATTTACCGTATTTTACGAGCGAAGACTAAAGGAATAGATTTAATTATAAATCTAACTGTACTCGTAAATCCATTTACAATAGTAGAGAGAACAAGTATTTTAGCGCAAGTATTCAATGCACTACTGTAAGGTGACACTTCCTACTTCTGTTCTAGGTGCTAGATCGTTTATTATGAACATACAATGTGTAGCCATAGATGTATAATATCAGAATAAAGTTATGATGCAGACCCTTTTGTTTCGCTTCAAAGATTTCTTTGAGGGATTTGTTCCGTAGAGCATGAAAACGTGTTAAATCTCAATACCCTAAAAATATGTAGCATCTATATAAAGGAACCTTAGTTTGAAATAGTTTACATTATTTTGATAAATTTTAAAGTAAGTTGGTAATTGTAAATATTTATGTACGTGTATGTTTTCAGGAGAAGTTCAAGAAAGAATTTAAACAACGTTTCACTTTCGGCAAAAAACCAAGCAGATACGTAAATGATAGTTACGAGGTAAAGTTTTAATAGATTTGCAAATTAAACTCACTTTCCATTAAAATTTGGCACAGCTTAAACACAAAGTAATTAATTGCAGGATGGCCAGTCTTATCGAACTCGGATTTTATCATTTCGGTCTACAAACGATAGAAGTGGTTACTCTGCTAGAAAATCTCTCAATATTCCACCCGGCGACACGTTGAAAGTTTCATCTCGAAATTCATGCCATTGCATGGGAGGTCAAAACAGAGAAAATGGATTCAATTTAACAAAGACTGAGGACATGGAGGGCATTGGTAATAGTAAAAGATACACGAATTTAAGGATGAGCAGTACAGATATTGGTAAAAGAAGATTGGCTAAGAAACTTTCCAACAGAGATGACATGCCTATAGGCGATGAGAGAGTCAGTGAACTGTATATATTTCCCAATAGTAACATTGTTGAATTCACAGACATATCATACGATGACAAAGTGTAAATATGTTGAGATTTCCATTACATTTAATATTTATTAAATCAAAGATGTGATAGAATTATAATGTTAACTGTGACTGTATTTTAATAAAGTAATATATTATTTAAGGATATATCCAGTGATTTCATTTTAAACTGAAAATGTGTACACACCAATACTTGAGTAATCAATAACGCCTGCCACTGACTGATATACCGGCATCATGTTCGCAGTGTATTTACATTTTTATGATAAGCTAAACGTACAAACGGTTCACTGATGAAATGATGAGAAGGAAATTGACTACCACCACCAATAGACGCCTGCAACTGAGATCACAGGTGCGTTGCCAGTCTTTGAAGTCTATGTTTGTAGATAGATAAGTTTTTATTCATGAACCATTTCATAGATTTACACATTGCTCCACAAAACCGAATAATCGGTTTGTCTTTCCACAGACAAACCGATTATTCGGTTTTGTGGATCTTATTATTACATCTTAATAGTATGGCTACATCCCATTAGCTGTACTTGATAATTGAATCTTAGTAATGAGCTCTATTCACCCTCGGTCACCCTGGGTGACCGATGTATTACGAAAAATGAGATATATCAAATAGAACTAGACCGGTTATATAATGAGGACAGATAGTGGAAAATGGTGGTGATGGAATGGTACCTTAGAAATGCGAAAAGACAAAAAGGACTATCAAAAGACAAATCAAAAGACGGGAGGAGAATTTGCAAACAACCGGACTGAGTGGTTGCTTTAAAATATTTTTTCAAAAAATTAAAGGTTAAAATCTGTAAAATGGTCAGTGAATCAAGGCTTTTATTATTGTCTATTACGTTATATATATTTTTAACGTGTTTTTATTTTTTGTAATATATTTAAAAATGAAATCAATTGACCAAAGCTGGTTGCAGATGTGACCACTAGACCTTGTACCTACCGACTATTACTTTTTCCAAAATTTAGACAACTTTTTAGTGGGTAAAAAATTCAATTCCCGAGAGGCAGTACAAAATGCCTTTGAAGAGTTTGCTGCCTCCCGTCCAGCTGATTTTAACAAGAAGGGCATCAATAAACTGCCAATGCGTTGGCAAAGATGCGTCGATTGCATGGGTGATTACTTCGAATAACAGAAATAAAAAAGTTGGAAAAATAAGTACTTTAACTTATTGCATACAAAACGGCAATTTCATAGGTAAAGACATATATATATAAAAAAAAAAATATATATATATATATATATATTATATATTTTACAATATATTTACATTATATATTATAAAAATAAAATAAATAGTATTACCGACATCGGGTACAGGGACCAAGACACCGGTAGTTAGGACTCCAAAGACAGGAACCTCCTCACTATACGAGCCGTGTCAAGCAGAACTGCCTTCTGCATCAGACCCTTGATCCAGCTGTCTAACTCACGTTTAAGATTTTGCACGCTCCTCTTAAGGTGCTGATCGAAGCTCTTATTATTATTAATGAGCTCTGTTATTAATAAAATTATAATTTCTAAGAAATTAAGTAATAACAAAGTTCCTGGTAAATTTTTACAATTTTTAAATTACAAAGGTGTCAAAGATACGAATTGGAAGCGAGCAGTACATTACCGAAGTGACTTCAATCTAGCGAATCTTGATGACACGTGAAAACAAGAGTAATCATGGGCAACTTTCATAGGAATTCAGAATAATGAGTGATTTACTGAATTACTAAACTTGCGACGTAAACCTAAAGTATAGCATAGGTATAGGTATTTGAATCTGAAATTGTTACAAAATACTAATAAGTAGAAAATAACAGAAAATAAGTTAGAATGCGGTAATAAAAATAGGTAGTCTAAACAAGACCACAGTTTTCTGCTTTTCGCTTTAATTTTCTAAAGGATCGCATCAAGTGTTCATGTAACTTCAACATTTTCGTTAGTTATATGTTTACTATATTATCATTGTTATATGAATTTATTCCTACATACATAATAACATTTTAATTATTTGCTATTTATTTTGCTACTTATTTTATCCTTTCCTCTTAGTGTAATAACTTGACAGCTCACTTTCCGTAAAAATCATTTGGTATTAGCAGAAAAGCAGCGCTTCTTCCACGAACTGGCATGACTCTGAGCTAACAAACTCCTTGTCTCATGAAGCGGTGTTTATTATCTACTTGTACATTATTATATTATATTACGTAAAACGTATGTGGAGACATCATATGTATGAGCACAAAATAAATTATTTTCTTTAATTCTTTCTTACTATTAGGATGTGGATTTTCTTTGTGGTGTTTTCAGATGATGTGATGATTTCGTCATAATGTTTTAAAACCTTTACGTTCCATTTATAGTTATGAATAGCAAATATGCCACCCGACTTTTCGGAGGGGTCGGATATATATACAAACTCTGCTGACTCTGCTCTTTCTGTAATTGGTGCTAATGTTCGTAGCAAGGTATAGAGAAGCCAAGGCATTGGGGTTGGTTTTATGAGGCCCGGCAATGACCTTGTGTACCCTTAAAAGAAGACGTATATAAACAACTTGCTTTTAAATACAATCTTGTGAATTCAGGGTACCATATAAATAACATAATAATTTATTAAACTGCATTGAGATCAATCAACACTGACAGGACTAGTGCTGCTCACCCTAGCAGAAGCAGGCCGGGGTGGCGGCGAGCGCGTTGCGAAGCGCGCTCGCTTCCAGGGAGCACAGGGAACATGGGGTTCCCACACGGGGGGGGGGGGGGGTCGTCTACTCGTCTGTAGATGACCCGAGGTCTGTCGGGGTACCAGGGACTTCCTTTCTAGGGTATACCTTGTTCCCCGGCTATTAGTACCCGAGACGGCGTGCGGTTTTAGTCGGTTCGAGTCCGACATGCCACCGACAGGTGGTATAGGAGGGGATTTCCGCACGGAAAAAAAAAAAAGGACTAGTGCTGCTAATAAAGTCCGATGTTATGTCGATAGGCCGATTAAAGCACCGCACAATAATTAAATTGGTAATAACGCCATTACTCATGACAAGAATCTGACTGTTTCTTTTTCCTTTTGAGGAAATAAATTCCAATAGGCTAAATCGGTCGAACCATTCACAAGTGATAAGGCGATATAAATGTTAAAATCGTTTTTATGAACAGACTATTGTAATAATTCAAGCCTATGATCTACTATTACGATTATCCTTATATTAAAACAGTGTGTTATAAAACAAAACTATAACAAAACTAAACTATTTACATGTTTTAATAAAAATAAGAACTGCATTTAATTGCTTCTGTAAACTCTAAAGAGAAGTGCCTTAATACCTTGATACTTCTCATTTCTTTTGATAATACCACCAATTTCTTTTTGAATAATATTTTGATAAGGGGTATTTTCAACAGTCTATTCTTTCCTGACAGATGTTATAGAGTGAGTAAATTGAGTGAACGGTTGATTAGAGAGGGGGGGGGGGGGGACCAGAGAGAGGGGAGGGAGAGAGAGAAGAGAGAGAGAGAGAGAGAGAGAGAGAGAGAGAGAGAGAGAGATAAACACAACAGCAAGGGAACATACTTTATTTGATAGGAAATGAACAATGTTATAATGTTCAATTGTTACAAACACTGATTTAAGGATGAAACGTTTTCAAGTACAACAATAACATACAATTTATTAACGGAATATAAATTTTATCCATAGCTTACTCATCAAATATGCATGTTCTAAGCATAATCGATATGACTCGGTATGGATCAGCATTAGCAGCTGGACGCCGGTCTTCTAAGTAACCTTTCTTGTCCTCGGACACTTGACGAGGTATCCTTACGGAGCAGCTTCGATTTGCAACACCTGTAAACCAAAACATGTTATTACATTTTGATATACACGGTGATTTTATAGGCGTTTTAGAAACGAAACATTTTAGTTTGGAATCATCTATAGTATCAATAAAAATGGTGAAATCAATTGTAATGTTGACTAAAAAAAAAAGTTTCAGTTTTAATATTCATTTTTACTCGATCGACTTATAAAGTAGTAATGCACTGATCATTCGTTCATTATCTTATATGAATGAAACACGTCCGTGCGCGTTTCGGCGGCCGCTGCGCACCGCTGACGCTAACAGCAGCTGATAAAAGTAGGCGCGAGCTAGCGAGTACTTACGTAGATAGACTCCAGTTTGTCCTTCATACTTTACACGCGGGCTTAGGACCGTCGGAAATACCTATTTTATTTAAACTTCTTTTCGATTATTAACCACGATTGTTCTTTTCACAACAAATCAATGTATCAACGGACGTAGGTATAAATATTTCAGGCGTATTTAAAATATCGAAGCTATCTACAGAATAATTAACTTATATACCTATTTACAGTTTATTTACACTATTTACACTTCTCTGTATCGAAGCAACTGCTCAAAATGGCGTCCGCTGCGTTCAATACACAAACGTCCACGTTTAATGCAATTGTTTTTTAATTTTCTTAATGTGTCTCTATCACTTTTCACTTTATCAAAAGCGTCCACTATCGCAATGCGTAAATCATCGTATAAACAAGTCTTTTTATTGCCGACCATAAGAAAAAATCCAGGGGCGTTAAGTCCCACACCAGGGACTTCCTTTCTAGGGTATACCTGGTTACCCGGCTATTAGTACCCAAGACGGCGTGCGGTTTTAGTCGGTTCGAGTCCGACATGCCACCGACAGGTGGTATCCGAGGGGATTTCCGTACGGAAAAAAAAATTTGGAGAAGACGTTGGGTTGCAGCCAAGATGGTAGGTGTGGAGGGAATTTGAGGGCTCTCAATTCCACGTAGCCGTAGTGCATTTAAATGCTCCGGCTGGGAATACAAACGCCGAGCCTCTTCCAAGTTGTAGTCGGCAGTAGCGTACAGCTGTACCATTGCCAAGTACTATACGTTTGAAAATTCGTACTGTCGACTCATTTTAGCGCTAATCATTGTAGCGTGCCGTCACAATGTTATGGTATTACTAACCGACTGAAAGCGAAGGACGCCTCACGATTACAGGTAAGTCCCGCGTATGCGCCTACGGGGCTCAGTGCAATGTCGTCATTGGTTGGACTACTCCGGCGCAACTCGGTAGCTTTGTTTTTATTGGCGAATACGATTTTATGTGACTCGATATTAAAACGCATAGTATTTCTATTTGTAGTATTTACCTACGTGTGATTGAATAGCGCTACTACTGGTTCTCACTTTTTCTCTGTAAACGATATGAATATTGACTTTGATGAAAAAAAAAAATTTTTATTAAATTAACGTTATATATAGCTTCTGTTATTGATAAATATATTTCTCTGTATTATCTGTTATTGATATATTTTTCTGTTCAAAATTTTCTGTTCCAAAACGCTTTCAAAATCACCGTGTATATATAATACGTGAAGATAATATTAATATTAATATTAATATATTATAGTAATATTAATATTATTATATATAAAATTTGTTGTACACCTTTTTAAGCAAATTGCGCGATCAGGCTAATTTGAAATTCTCAAGATTTATAAGTAAATATAAAATTACTAATCGACAATTATTAAATGGAGTTAAGGCCTATTTATAGACTTATATTAATATTTTTATTTATGCACATTATATGCCTAAATGCTGTATTAAACACTCTTAATGATGAATAAAATATTTTTACGTAGTTGGCAAAACTATACAAGTTTTGTACGTGTTAAAGGTTGATCTTTTGTAAAACTTATTTAATCTAAAGGTGCAATTAATATTTAATCATGAATACCCACTTATATTCCGTATTATTGACACCTATTAAGTCACGTATTTTTGCGGTCTTAATAGGTCTTTAATAACGTATAAAAACAAAAAACTTAACTTTTTTATTAAATTAAATCTTAGTTACAAACCAAAAAAGTAGCTGGACAACATTTGAAAACAATTGAATTTACTGCTATTTTTTATCAACATTAACTTTAACTATGGTATTTTATTTGCAAATAACAACCTACAATATGCATTAAAACGCCAAAAAAAAAGTGTCGGGGTTGCGTAAGGTGCGTAACATGCGTAAGATCATCACGATATATCCTGGCATGGCGACATTCAACAAGATTAACGCTATCTCGCTAACGCAATAAGTGCGTAATAATTTAAACATGTAGACCTTCCTTTATCTATTCTTATTTTAAATTACATCATTATTCAAATCTATTAATATAGACTAAGGAAAACTTCTGATCTAGGTTTAGGTAAAGTCATAATAAAATGTGTAGTGTGTGTAATGGTGTAGTGTTTGGTTGTGACTAAACCAAAATAGAAATAAACTAAAGAATTCGTACGTATATGTAGTTAATATATGTTGACTGCCTATTGGCAAGATTGATGAGAAAAATCAACTTAGCTTGTCTCGTGACTTGCGAAAACTGTCAAACAAAGGGCTTGCGTAGTCTTACAACGGAAATGACTTTCTTATTTGAAATGGAAATTTTCGTGTATGTAAAGAAATCGTTACCGGGGTTAAGAAAAATAAAATAAACAATGCTTAAATAATGTCAAAGCGGCAGTAACTAATGTCAAAGCGGCAGTAACTAACAGCTGCTTGGATATTAAACATTAAAATTGCGAAAAACGGCTCACTCTGTCGAAAAAAAGTCTTGACAACCCTAACTTCCTAACACCCGAGACCTCTGTAACAGTATTTCACACATCATGAAGACGTTTTGTTAACTAAAACTGTTTTTAAATATTTTCTTTTACCAATTGTCGGCCTGATCATGTGCCCATGCAATATTATAGCTTTCTAGAAGAATCAGTCTAAGCTTAGGCACGATCAGACAGACAGACGGACCTGGTCGAACTGTAAGAGTTACTAAGAAACTACAAAATTTTTTTTTAGTTGTTTCACAATTGGAAAAACTATCGCGTCATATGAAAACGGTTATAATAAGAACCCTCTTCCATTTTGCCAAATATTGTTTGAGCTCCACTTCGCACACAAAAAAAATCTAAATCGTAATTAGTTAATCCGATGCCATCCAGGGGAAATCTAGAGAAGTTTTTGAATATTATAGACATAATATTTAAAAACTTCTCTCGATTTCCCCTGGATGGCATCGGATCCTAGTCTGGTAAAATGTGAACTAAAAATGTACACTTTCAAACAAAAACTTTTATATTCGGTTCAAAGGTCTTAGTGTCACCGGGAACAAACACTTCGTAAAAACATGACGGTGAAAAATAAGACATTTACAAGAATTTTACTTGTATACTTTCTTTTTGAAAAAATAGAGATTTTAATACTTGTATCGAATATACTGAATTATACTGAAATATGATGACACGTAAGTACTTCTGATCAAGTTAATCTAGGCTTCACAATTAAAGGACACGCCGCGAAAGCGGCGGTAAGACCCGTCCTACGAGAGTGGCTGGAGAGGAAAAACGGAGCTCTCACCTTTCGGATGACACAGGTGCTTTCCTTACATGGTTGCTTCGGCAAGTAATTGTGTCGGATCGGTCGGAAGCCGACGTCACGGTGCCGCCATTGTGATGACTGCCTTGACGACACGTCGCTTCACAAGCGGGCGTAATGCTCAGCTTGGGCCAGCCAGCGTCGTGATCTTATCGCGGCAGTCAGGTCTGCGGGTAGTGTCACGTTTCCGACCTTGGTTTTGTCCATTGTCCGCAATGAAAGTGCATGGTGATGCGTTGCTTCCTTCTGAGAATATGTGATGTCCACAAAGGAAGCGGAAGGACGGGAGAGAGAACGCAGCACCGCTGTATCTTCCCGCATAAGGCGCACAGGGCACCGGAGGGCATTCGTCGATCTCCGGCCATCTTAGGAAGTGGCCTACGGGCGATGATTTTGGGGAATTCGTCTTCCGCATAGATACAGGCCCGAGAGGTAGTAGTAGGCCCACAGTGTTCCGTGTGCGCTTCTAGAGGACTTCAATCGAAGGGTGACGATCGCAACGGGTGAAGAGACCCGTCGTGGGTTAGACGGGTCAATGCCAGTCGGGGGTAGTGGAAGAAAGCAATTGCGATTCTCGCTTCCCTGGCCATTGGCAAGGAGAGGAACACCGAGGTGGTTTTTAGTCGGTAAGAGTCCGACAGACCTCTTCACCATTCCCCACTGGGCGAAGAAGATTCAGGAGGATCTTCCACCCCGTTAAAAAAAACATAATTATGCATCATTTCAGTTCATAGTTCATAGCCGAGACCTTTAAACGTAATTTAAACCATCTTTTATTAAGCCTTCGGGAAATGAGTATGCTGGCCAAACTATAATTATTCAGTGACAGTTTGATTTCTCGGTTATTATAGTTAGCAGTTATGATGTTGGAGGAGAATCTACATATTTCGATGAGCTAAATTTGAATCTAAATTAATAAAGTACTCGGAAACTCTGTTGGACTAGAATATACCGCCGTAAAAAAACCAATAAAATAGCTAATGACGCAAATAAAAATAAAGAAAACTAAGACATGACTAACTTGAAGAGGAATACCGAAAAAGTCACATTATGTTCTCGCCAGAACTATTCTGCAACAATACTACGCAGTGAGATTCCTATAAAATAACAATCATAATCAAGCAGTAAAGTAAGTGTACTACAGAAATGATCGAAGTAGCGCCTTCGTACTCAAAACAATAATATTATAGAGTCAGAACTGGTTAGATACTCATCATTAACGTGTGCCTTGCTTCTTGGTTTAGCAAGTTGTTGGCAAAACAATTACCGACTCTATGGTCAAGTTATTTACAAAAGGACAAGGTTTTGATGTTAGTGATTATCTGTTCAAGTTTTATGTATTCGTGGGGATTCGAATTTTTGATATTTTTTATGGAAGGTGGGGGTCGGGATAAACGAACCTGATGAAAAGTGACTACCGTCACCCCTGAGACGCCAGCAACTCAGGAGTCACAAGCGCGTTGCCAACTTTTTAGGAAGAAGTACGCTCAGATATTCGGGATTTGCACATTCAGTCTTTAAACATTCAAGTTTAAAGTACCATTGCAATAAAAAAATCAAACGTCTACGTGATCTCCTATGCAAGAATTTGTTTGTAGTTTAGAACGACGTTTGGGCAGCATGCTTTAAATTGACATAAATTGATAAGAAAATTACCAGCCCGTCGGGTAATCAATCTGCAATTTATGGTCGGTGATACCGTATTTAACTCACTCTGTAGATAACTCATCACTTTATATGAATGAACAGAATGGGCACAAGAACAGGTGAATTTAAATTTCTTACAATAGTTTAAAAGAAAACAACTCAATATAATATATAAAACTGTTAGTCTAAAACAATTTTTGACGTGGAATCCATGTCACTGTCTACCTGCTATAGTAACCTGCTAAAAATTAACTATCACCGCACGTTGACACGTGCAACCTAAGCAGTCACAAGTACAGTGAGAGTAGGTACGCTTTAAAGATCGTATTCGAAAACACCATAGGTGACAATTTGTTCCACAAATTGATAGTGCAAGTCAAAAAACTTCTTGGAAAGCACACTCTGGCAGAGTTCACATTATCTAACTAATGTGATGTTTTGTCGCTTTGCAAAATCGGTGCTGGAGTACTTCCAATAGAAGAAGTGATGGAGAATGCAAAGTGAAGCTTCATGTCTAGAAATATTATGGCAACCGATAATTAGATGTTGAAGCTGAAACTGGAGTAACTGGCAGATAGAATATCAAAATACCACAACCAGGCACAAGCTTTGAGAGCCAAATCAGTTATACGATCACTACCTATGTGAACTAATACTACTAGCTCACGATATTATTTTACATTTCGAAATTTTTCTTAAAGATCGACATAACTTAAAATAGGCGGGTGAGATAAAATCCAATATTCCACTTCTGATGATATGAAACCCAGTAGAAATTATGAACTATACAAAAGACAGTTAAGCTAGCTATAACGTTGTATCGAACTTCTAATGATCTGATTTTTAATAAGTTTTTTAAATAGTATATAAACTAAATAGGATCACATTGTAACGTCCTTGCAATCCAAACCTCTATTGACGTTTAAAAATTATATACGAGTATATAGAAACACGTATTCATGAAAAGGCCACTAATAAAGGGTTTTCCAACAAGAGGTGTTATTTTGAATCACGCGGTATTTCGGTAGCTGTCACTTTTGAAGCTTTTATTTTTTAACATTTGACAAGTAGAAACTACGCCATTACTAAAAATGGAACGATACACACTTCAACAACGCATTGAAATTATTAAAATTCACTACAAAAATGGTGAAAATCTTGCAGTCACAGTTCGCAAAACTAAAGCATTTTTTGGTCGTAGTGAAGCAATACAGAAATTGGTGAAAAAATTCGAGCTGTTGGGACAAGTTAGTGATGTGAAGAATAAAACCCGTGCACGTCGCTCAAGAACAACTGAGAATATTGCTGCTGTAGCCCAAAGTGTTGAAGAAAACGCAGGTTTGTCCATTCCTCGTCGTTCTTTGGAATTGGACATTCCACAAACTTCATTACACCGTATTTTGCATAAAGACTTGGGTCTTAAAGCTTATAAAGTTCAGTTAACACAAGAACTCAAGCCGGCCGATCATCAACAATGTCGTGTCTTTGCTGATTGGGTACTTGAAATGCATGAAAATGATCCGGAATTCCATCGATAAATCATCTTGACTGATGAGGCTTATTCCACCTAGGAGGCTACATCAACTAGCAAAATTGTCGCATCTGGGGCTCGGAAAACCCAAGAGTTATTGTTGAGAAGCCTCTCCATCCTCAACGTGTGACTGTTTGGTGCGGTTTATGGTCCGGCGGGGTCATTGGACCTTACTTTTTCGAAAATGAGGTTGGATGGATGAATGGATTGCGCTATCGAGATATGATTAATGATTTTTTATGGCCGGAGTGGGATGGTATACTTTGCGATTTGGTTAAGCAAAATTTCATTAAAAGAATATGGTCCTGTAAGCGTGGTCGTGGTAGCCATTTGGCTGATGTTATCTTCCATTATTAACGGCATACCTTCCTCTTTATTATAAAATAAACACCCGATTATTAATCTTAAAAAATTGCATTTTTCTTTGAATACTAAAATAACACCTCTTATTGGAAAACCCTTTACTCGTACTACCGATGTTAAATACTGAAAACACGTAAAATACCAAAAGAATTCGAAGAATAATGATAATATAAAAATGTAAAGTGTAGTATAAGAGAAAAAACTAAGATAACACGAATTTTACACCAAGATACCATACCTAATTTTACGACCGGTTCGTCCACCCTGTTCATGTAATAGTTGCAAAATAAAAAATAAATTCGCTGCGGCACTTTGTGGTCGTATGAATACGTAATGAGGAATAAAACTGACTGAAATATTCTATTCCGAATTTCGATGTTCCGATTTTCAAATGTCCGAATTTCATAATTTCTAAGAGTTATAATGTCTATTATTAAAATTCACGAAAATTATTTTAGCAAAAGCCGTAAATGAGATTTGTTTGTTTTCCGATTTTTAAATACACTGCAAAAAAAATTACTACATCATACAGTTTTTTTGAACATTCGATGTTTCGGATTATCATTAAGTCGAACTTTTTGTTATTCGATCTATTGAAACTTTGTTATTTTGAGGATAGTTATTATAAACGTTAGGAATATTAATAAGTTCCAGACAAAATATGGACAGAAGAAACAACAATATGTGATGGACCAATGGGCAAAAAAAAATAAGGCCGTCCAAGGAGCACATGGGAAGCAAAGCTAAAAATAGGGAAACATGGAGTAGGCTGGAGGATTCCCCAAAGTCCCCGCTTCAATACCCAAAGGCCAATAACAGAATAAAATAATTAGGAATATAAGTAGTTTAAGAAATACATGTTTTGTAAGGTTGTTGAAAAAAAAAAAGGTTATTATTATTAATTATAAACGTCAAGGATTTTAAAATTTTGAACCATTCGGAATTATGAAAATTGGTATTTGAGTTTTTTGTTTATTGTACGTTTGGACTTTGCATGATAAACGAGAAAAGTAGTAATATAGTAAATTCGATATTTAATAAATTAGTTTAACTAGACTAATATGTTTAACCGAATGGTTGTATAAGTCGTATAAACCGTATTGGAATTATACGGTTAGATCGCTAAACGTTATTATTTTATGACCTTTCAACTTCAGAGAAGTAAAAGGAGTTAATATTCGTATGTTATTTCAGCGTTCAATGTTGAATCAAAGGCAATAAAGCGAAGGTATAAATCACAAATTGATCTAGAAATCGAAAACAGTTTCATAAAATATTATAAATCATAAGCTAAGTCTGTTAGTCTAACACCGTTACAAATCTCCCCAAATCCATTTCTATAAACTTCAAAATGCACGCTTACGAGTACAGGTTTAACGTTTGCAAGAATCGGTCAAAGGAAACTGACTACTAAACATAGCTTAACTTTTCTTCTTATGAAATATTAATTTCAAGAGCAAACGTTTCTGATCTCCATTAATTTATTTACTTTGTTTGTTTTGTTGTAGTTGAGATTTGCTGTCTGAACATATTCGTATATCAGACGACCAGCACACATTCAGATCAGATGCAGATCTCAACTTTACACATACAAGTTTGCTATCTTGCGATAGACAAAAATGATTTTTTTATGTGTTCATTTGTTCCGTTTTAATTTTGCAACAATTCTTAAAACTGAACTCGTTTAAAAAAATATATATTGTCAAAAAACAAATAAACTAGAATTAAGAATAAAAAAAACAAATGAACTTCATAGCTTTTATGTGCATAAATGCATGTTATTGTATCAGTTCAAAATCAACTAAATTTAGTCATTTATGAAATGATTATTTAAATTTCAACCAGCACTTTAGGTCTTAATTCTAAACCATCAAGTTCAACCGATATTTGATGTATTTTACATTATATACTCGTAAGTAGTTATTGAGTCAGTTGATAATAAGATAGCTATTCATAGCACTGATAGTTTACCTGCCGTGAAATCTCTAACGTTTGGCATTCCATGCTTGCCAGTCAATCGGCGTGCATTGTCAGCACCATTGTTAGCATCGTACTCGTTCATATGTGCACCATGTCGCCTGCTTAATTTATCTATGGCCCGCTCGATCACCCTGTAATAGTGTGAAAAAAACTTTCTTATTATATTACGCTAGATTCGTAAAACCAAGACAACCAGAAACTTATTATAGTAACTAATCACGAGAAAAAAATCTCTCTTAAATTTATCTCGCTTGTAAAACTAACACGTACCATAAAAATATCGTATCTGAAATATCGTATCTGGTTATATTGGAATATTAATTAAACAGTTACAATAATATATACTAACAGTATCCCATCTGGTTCTCTCATATCCTTGGAGGAGAAGTAGCAGAAAGTGCCGTTACCAGGCCAATCTGGGATAGGTTGTGGCTCGAAAGTGGCCACAGTGCCATACTCTTCAGCAAGCCGTGCCAGTATATACCTAGCCATCCATAAATCATCTGCCGCCCTAATACCCGGACTTGGCCCCACCTTGAAATAGTATATATTTATTTATTCATATCTTTATTGTATACAATTAAAACTTAACAAAAATATTACTTACAAATATGCACAATCTTAACCGTAGTTTACATAGTCGCAAATTATTATATGAATATTTAAAAATAATATAATAATAATAAAATAAAAAAACAGTGGCACTCCGGGAGTGCCGATAAAAGTGAAAACTTGAATTTTTATTTTTATTAAAACGGTTTCTTTTCGGATCGATCGATTGTCGATTCGGAAAAATCCGATATGAATATATATATCTATCTATGCTGTACGTATTTACACAATATATGTTTATGTTATATATGGTTATATTATCCATGCATTACAACCCAAACGCAACTCTCGTGTAAACGTGGCTAATATATGTAACGGTAACTGTGTCGCGAGTTCAATGGTTTTTTTCCCCATCTCAAAAATACTTCAAAAATAATTATTTTATTTGTTGTTCAAAAATGCCCAACGCACCTAAATAAGTTTTCACTTCAATGATAATAATAAAAATAAAAACATTCACAACAAACATTAAAAACAACTCGCGCATGAACAGGCTACGGCTCATAAAAGTAATTTTAAAACGATTTTGTGATCAATTGTCTATTACCCATCGCACTAAGGAATTTACACTTCGAAAAGGAAATTAGAAATGCGTAAAGGAAGCAAACTTGTCACAATATTCCTAATTTCTGGAAAAATCACTTGCAAATACTTAAATCCAACCTTCTTTCTTGTTACTAAAAATTTAATTTAGATAGGATATGAAAATTTAAGAACCCTAACTATGGAAAATAAGTATTCAGTAAATTAAATTTTAAGCAAATAATAATGATGAGTTTAGTCCCACAACATTGAATTTTTTTATATTAGAGGGAGCAGATGGGTCACTTGATGGAAATTGACCATCGCCGCCCATGAACATCTGCAACTCAGGAGTAACAAACGCGTTGCCGGCCTTTTAGGAAGGAGTGTACTCTTTTCCTGAAGGTTTGAAGGTCGTATCGGTCCAGAAATACCGCAAACGATCATCCGTTCCACAGATTGGTAGTGCGGCGCTAAAAGTGGCTCGAAAAACACAGTAGTGGAGCGCCAACTATCCAGGTGATGAGGATGAAGATTTTGCCGTGTGGAACGATGGCGGAAAGTTGCGGCTGTTATTAGTCCGAACAATTCCTCGGAGTACTCTCCATGATATATACGATAGAGAATGCAGAGTGAAGCCACATCTCTACGTAACGCCAAGGGATCGGAGATGTTTGGGCTATCGACGATTCGAGTCGCTCTTCGTTGGATACGATCCAGAGGGAGAAGCTGGTACTGAGATGCCCCTACATAGAGATGAGAACAGTATTCCAAATGCGGCCGGACTTGCGCCTTATAGAGCTGAAGGCGGAGGGCTGGAATGAAATACTGCCTCAATCTGTTCAGCACACCGAGCTTCTTCGAGGCCAATTTGACCTTAGCCTCTAAGTGACCCCGAAACTGGACTTTGCTCGATATGTCAATACCTAGGATTCCGATGCTGGCTGAGGCAGTTAGGAAGGTGCACTCAAACCGAGGTGATAAGACAAATGGTATTTCCTTTTGCGGTGAACGTACAGAACTGTGTCTTTTTTGGGTTGAAGTGGACTAGATTTAGTCGGCCCTAAACCGAAACTGCCGCTAAGGAAGACAGAGACATGTTTGTTTCCATTTTATATCTACACGTTTTATGTATTAGGTAAAATAATTGTTAAGTGCCCTCATAAGTGCAGCACGCCCTTTAAGAAGTAAATTGGGCACATTGTGGTTCCTACAGGGTCAGGTTTTTTCTTTAACATTTAGCGTTAAAAAAAGATAAACAAATAATAAATTGCCAGTTTTACCTGAAAATTCCACTGCGATGGTGTAGTCCCCGGACATATGCCATTTAATTTTACACCAGCATATAGACAGCACCTAGAGTAGAAACACATATTACGTAAATGGAAACACATTTTAAATATGTATTTAATAACGCTTAAGAAAGTACTACTTATTTATTTATTTATTTTATTTATTTATTTCCTTTAAAAACAAAATCAAAATCATTTCAACTCTTATTTTATAAAAGGATGTTTATGGCAAGAGCAATTTTTTAAATTAGTTTAGGCATAAATTATGTAACTATTGTACGATTATATAACCTTCGTAAAATATTCCAAATTGGAGCACCAAATGATTTATTAGTTTGCTAGTGGTATTAGCGGTAGCGAGCTTTATCAATTTGGCTTAAAACTTTATGGTTCTTCAAAGACAAGCAACAGTTGGTCCTTGGGCGCATACAAGACTATTTCAACAGAAATTGGAACAAGTATTAAATTTGGCGACGCTTCAAAAGAATTTAGCCCAGGAATTACTTAGAAATACACTGTATAAATTTTAGACTTTATACTGTAATTAACGTTCAATTTTGTCATCGACGTACATTGAAAGTGAATAGTGCACGCAAAGATATATACAGGGTTACTGGGTAAGTCGACCTAAATACTTTAATGGGTTGTAGTTGCCATCATTTCTGATAGATTTCACTATGAAATACCATATGCCAAAAATAATCATTTTCAAGGTATTGGATATTTAAGATTTTTTATAAAAATCGCTGAAATCTTGCCTAATACATTTTTTAGAACTTATCCTTCATTTTATGCTTTTTTTTACTAATTTTGTGTAGTTTGGAAATTGTTTTACAATTTCAATTTCTAAAATTTTAGTTACCGTTATCCGTAAAAAATTGAGATATGAACATATTCCCCGTTCGTATAAGTTATCATCTTCAACAGTATCAGAAGCACAAATCAAAGTTCACTTAGCAAAGTCCCTTGAAAGTATTTAGGTCAACTTACCACGTAACACTATATTTTATATAATAACCGACTATCTGATGATTTGGTATGGTAAAATGATTTCAGAATTTAAACCATAACAGCATCAAAATATCAAATGGCATTAACTAAACATACCGGTAAAAAGCCTCCATTAGATCTCTGGCGACTATTTTGTTAGCTCCCGTGGCGCAGTAATAGGGACCAGGAGGGGCAGGGAAACCTCCAGGCGGCCAGCCTAGGGGCCGAGAGTCAGTTGTTGTTAAAAAGAACTCCTGATTAAAGCCAAACCAAGGCTCTTCAACTTCACCTTTTTCACATAAAGCCACGCAGGCTTTGCGGAAATTCGTAGCTGCAAGAAAAATAATATTTTAGTCACGTGTAAAAATATGATCATACCAAAAAAATAACGTAGCATTTTGTTAACTTGGTATTTATAACTTTCAAGCTACTATAGATATTATATGGATAAATCGGCGCAACTGCAAGGTACAACCCCTATAATACCCCACATAATAAAAATAATTTGATTGATTTAAATTAAATTCTAATTTTGATAGTTAATGTTAAGAAATAAACTGAAGAATCATATTAAAGAAAAACACCAAGACAATACAACACAACCTAACAACTTGTAAACACGTGCACAAGCAATGCTTCCTTTAAAAAAGAGCTGCATTGCGGGTACTCTGTCATCCTCGCTCGAGTCCTCAGGCTGTACGGATCTATGTACGACTGTTGTTGAGACCAATGCAATAATAGGTCTTTAGGTGCAAGGTCTGGTGAGTATGGCGGATAAGGGAGAGCTTTCAACCCCAGCTCTTGCAGCTTGGAGACTGTCTGTTGCGCAGTATGGGGTCGCGCGTTGTCGTGAAGGAGCAGTGGGGACGACCGATTGACCAAAGCTGGTTGCAGATGTGACCACCAGACCTTGCACCTACCGACTATTACTTTTTCCAAAATTTAGACAACTTTTTAGTGGGTAAAAAATTCAATTCCCGAGAGGCAGTACAAAATGCCTTTGAAGAGTTTGTTGCCTCCCGTCCAGCTGATTTTTACAAGAAACTGCGTGCCAATGCGTTGGCAAAGATGCGTCGATTGCATGGGTGATTACTAAGAATAAGAGAAATAAAAAAGTTTGAAAAATAAGTACTTTCACTTATTGCATACAAAACGGCAATTTCATAGGTAAAGACCTAATATATCTTTGATTTTATTTACTGTTGTTGTTATTTACTATGGCTTTTATAAAGGAAAACGACGACAGTGTAAAGAATGACGGCAGCTTTCCTGAGGTCACTCTTTTTAAAAATTACCCGACCGGCGTCTGGGTAATTTTTTTCCTTACGTTGGATATTATATTATTTGAGATCTGATAGACTGTGATCTGCTGACAGATAGACTGATACTGATACTGAACACCATTAAAATGACCATGGGAAAGTCATGCTTCGGCACATGCGGGTCGGCTCGATCGAAGTGATAGTACGCCCATTTAAATGTCCCCAAAAACATTTATCACCATTCATTTATTCGCTTACAATGCTTGAAGTACAGGAATCCAGCAGGCGATAGCCCGCCTTAACTACTCAACAAATTATTATGAGCTAAATAATAATCATAATATTTTAGGACATCTGACACAAAACGCCATCTAGATTTAAACTAAGAAGCATAGCTTGTACTATTGAAAGCTAGATTGACTGATAGAAATATACTTTTCTTGTAAATACATACATTTTATACATAGAAAACACCCATACAATATTAAGTTGTCGCACAGAAATTTGCATGGGGTGCCTTTTATCCCGAATAAAGAAACTATTCCCCAAAGGATACCTGAATTTACTTATATAAAATTTTGCTTGATTTATGTAAATGTCTTCCTACTACCTTTTAATATAGCGTGTTGCAATATATTTACTATTAGTATTAGAGATGTACTAGAGCTGCGTAAGTGTAATCGAAACTGTGAGATATCCGATAAAAAGCCTATCCGAATTCCTATCCTATAGAAATTATTATATATTATTAAACACTTCATTTATATCTGTCTCTGCATTTTTGGTACGATTCATGTGTATTCGAACGAAATAATATTATACAAAATTTTATTCGATTTCTATAAGATTCAAATTGCTTTCATTTATGTTTATTTGGAGCACGGGTACTTCTCTACCCACCCACACTCATATTTATATTATCTCAACGAATATTTCCTCCAATTAGTATTTTACGTTACTTCATACTTTTTGTTTATTAATATTCTACTAATAGAGGACAAGTTTGGACAAGTTCTAAATGCCAGTTCTTCTCTTCTCTTTAGTTACTTTACGGCAAACTAGTAAGTTAATAGTCATGCCAATAAAAATGGAGCTCTTAATTTATTAGAGTGTTTCGTTGTATGAGATCTTCGCTCTAGGACCAGACCTTAGTTAACTATTTAGTATCGGAAGACACCTTGTGAAGACTAACAGAGCAGGTAATTTACGCCTATAGTCATACGAGATGGAAACGAATCTGATTCTAAGTATAAATGATTGGCGGCCTGTTGCTATACTCTTAATGATTTTTTGAATGATAAACTGTAACATATTTAATATCTAGACTGACCTAAAGGGGATTGTTTAAGCAACTATGAAACTTAGGTATCGCTACAAAGATCTTTGTGTCATGAAAAATATTGTCATATTGTTATGTTGGCATTAGTGTATTAATTTAGGAAAACTAAACATAAATTTCATAACTCGACGCATTTCGTGGGAAATCGTTGGTAAAATTCAGAGGTTCAAAAGTCAAAACAACACATTTTCGATTATAAGCTTGGCTTATATATTGTTTTGAACTTTTAGCAAAATTACCAAAAACCTTTGTTTGGCCCATCTATTTATCAAAAATAAATAAATCAACTGCGATGACCTGAATATTTTCAAAAATCGGTCTAGGTGAGATCCAAGTAGCCAGCCTCTTCGAAGTACGGATATTTTATTATCAGTTTAAATCTTATAAAATATAAACAGAAATTGTTAAAATCTTAAACTTGAGGCACTACTAACACTGTGGCGATACCAAAAGTGGTCAGTCTCCTTTTTATTTGTTATTTGCATCTGCTTAATACTCTTACTATATTATTTCGTAAACAGTATTTATAATTTATTATATTTCGTGTAATGTGTGTGCAAAACAACGCAGGACACCAGCACTGCAAAAAGAAGGAAAACTTGACACAAACTCTATACCAACCCGTCTGGCCAGCGTGGTATAGTAGGCCAAAACCTCCTTGCTAAGGAGAGGCCTATGTCCAGCAATGGACTATTAAAGGCTGTTGATGTGATGATGTGTGTGTGATCGCCGTTCTAAGAGTTTTTAAAATAAATATTATGTACCTAATTAGTTTGTAATTTTCCGCTTTATTTGTAGCTACTTAATATATTTTTACGCCGACCACGGTTTAGCATGTTGTACTATACAAAACATTTTCCATCCATATGCATGACATTTGAAATATGTATGTATTATGTTTTTTGATGTTTAACAAAAAAGTTATTCTCTTTATTTCATTAAATATTCATATAAATTACATTTTTAGAAATATTTATGATTTATAACGGACCGAAATGCCCCAACACCAAAAAAGAAACAAAATATATTTAAAAATATAAAAATAGAGTCACATCGGTATCGGGTACAGGGACCAAGATACCGGAGATTAGGACGACAGAGACAGATTGGCTGCTTTCTGTATCTACTATCGACTATCGGTATTCTTTATCCGTGAAGTGACGGATTAAGAATACGGAATGTCACTACCCCTATTCATCCCGTGGGTGTCGTAAGAGGCGACTAAGGGCGCAAAACAATGCAGGACTGCAAAAAGAAGGAAAACTTGACACAAAACCTATACCAACCCGTCTGGCCAGCGTGGTATAGTAGGCCAAAATCTCCTTTCTAAGGAGAGGCCTATGTCCACCAGTTGACTATTAAAGGCTGTTGATGATAATAATTGCCGAATCCACATCCCACATGTCGACAATCTCGTGGACCAGATCCAAATACTTGCTTATCTTTTTCAGCTTTTAAGAGATTGTCGTCATGTGGAATGTTTAATGTCAACAAGCATTGCTCGGGGCTCTAATCGATCTCTTATCACTATATCAGGTTTATTGGCAACAATAGTCCTGTCAGTGATAATAGGACGATCCCAGTACAATGTTGAACGACCATTTTCAAGAACTTAATAGTATAACTGTATGTCTCATAAAGTATTGTTTTATGGAGTAGGCTGCAAATAATGTTCTTATTTTACTTCGTAAATCCAACAAGGGGGGTTACACTTCTTACTATAGAACATTTAGGAGTTACAAAAAATTATAGCTTTATAAAATTAAAAAAAGCGAACAAATGGTTTAAATAGAAAAAAAAAACAAACCGAGGGTTCCGTAAGATCCCTTTTGACAGAGCAGAAAATTGAACTTTGTCTTTTAAAAATGCTCTCCCATATATTGGGTTATATGTCATAGTCAATTTAATACGAGTACGATCAGCGGCGTGCACAGGATTATGACACTAGGTATGTGGCTGAGTAGTCGGTCACAAAAACTTTTTCTTTTATAGATTTTTAGCATAGCCAAAGCCACGCGACGGATCTCTCTCTCGGAGTCGAAAACCATGCCAACAGAACAAGTCTTAGATGTACTACTATTCATGTACATCTTCAACGGGAACGCAGACAAAACGGCGATAGATCGTCGCGGCGGAAGAAATTCTAATAAGTGAAATAATAAGCTAAAATATTATATTATAAATACTCACCTGGTCACACACATTTTCCACACATACCTCACAATCAAATAACATTTAAAAACTCAGTAATAAACTGTTAAATGTACACACTTTCAAATGTTAAAATGAAAAATAAAACTATAATTATACTGGCGGAAAGAAAATAGTAAACAATGCTTATCACATGAAAAAAGCAATATGGCCCCCGCGAAACACAAAAAAAAATCTGCTAATTAAACAAATAAAACCCTACCATATTCAAAATTCATAATCCGCACACATGATTTATTATATTTCTGTCTATTGTGTTTAGTCGATTTATAGGCAACGACCATTTCCGATTACTCCCGACAATTGCCGAACTTTAGTAGCCTGCGGCTGGAGCCGGGGAAATAAAATATATGGGTGTGTGCGTTTGCGAACTGTGCACGGACACCAAAATTACTGCACACATGCGAACAAATTTCCTGCGGCATGTTTCAGCATGAGTTGGTTGGTAGGTACAGCGCCGCTTGCTTGTTGGTAAACGCCTGGCAAACATAATGTTTTAAGTTATTATATTTTGTTTAT